CCACTTCGGCCATGTTCGGAGAGATTTCCGTAAAATAATATATATCGATTTATCAGTTCACGCTGCTTCAAAACATGCCGGAATTTTTGAGAGATAGTTTCACGCACGGGGTGGGGTCGGGTATAGTATAGTATATTTATAAAGAATGGGAGGGAGCGGCGAATAACAAGCTGAGTATAGCAAATTACAAATAGCCAAGAATGCCAAATGGGTTGTGAACGACTACGCAGGTTGTACTAATGTGCGCATGCGCGAACGTGTCATGATTCGATGTTTACGGGAGAACTCTATCCTTGAATCACTATGGTAACGGCAGCGTTGCAACGGCCCCGGCAGTTAGATGCGAGTATGATTATGACTATAGGCACTTAGGATATGACTACTAGGCACTAAAAAAAAACCCTAGCCTAACCCTAAGCCTAACCTAAACCTAACCTAAACCCTAACCCTAAAAAAAAAAAAAAAAAAAATTAATTTAATTAAACGTGCCTAGTAGTCATTCATATCGTCATCGTAACTGACGGTTAGCGTTTACACCAGCGATGACACAGACTATATCTGTTCTGTCTGTCTGTCGATATATACGCATCCACCCACCTACCCATTCCAAAACTGAAGAAAGAAACACCAAACCAGGACCACATCACTCACCCATCCACCCATGACATACTATCTGCTCTGTCTATATCCACCCATGCATCCAGCCATCCATCATCCATCCATCCATCCATCTGTGTACGTTGTATGGTGACTATGGTCAGTATCTGCCATTCATTGCCTTCTATGCGAGGGATGTTTCGTTGGTGCATACCACGCAGCTTCTGGTTGACTGTTAACGAATCGATATTGTTATCGTGCGCACTCTGAATCGGATTGTCTCTTGCGTTTCTCGCGATAGAAATAACTTACTAGGGAATCTATATTATTATCTATGACGCTTTGCAGGATCTTGACGTTCTGAGCTAGTGCATTCTTGCAAAAGTGGATGCCATGTTGTATCCAAGAATGTAGTTGTAGGTGAGTGCGTAGCGTGCATCACACGCGTAGTTATGTGCGTGTTTTCGCGTACGTTATGTGGGCGTGTTTCGCGTGTGCGTCGCGGGGGCGGCTCTTAGTAGCGTGAGCAGTAAAGCCTGAGTCATCGTTACATGGCATGTACATAGGTACATGTATCTGCATGTACCCATTGTATGCTGCATGTTCAATGTATTGCTGCATTACGATGTACATGATAAATCCATCGTTACATGTCTGGTCAATAGACATGCTCATCTGCGTAAATACTAAACACGACGAGGGGTAGGTAGCTCAAGAGTATATTATGTGCGTTTATCAATCGCGGATCGTTTTGTCGTTCAGGCGCGTCATAGATGGCGCTCTCAAGATTAAACGAGAGATTATTTCATAATATTTTCTGCCCTACGTACAAACAACGAGTGTTTTATAATCATTAAAGTGTAAACTATTATATATATATTACATTAAAGACTAAATATGTCTTCCCGTTCACGTTTGTATGATCCTGATTTAATGAAATAAGGTAGAGGTTTACCCGTCAAGTGCTGCTTTGTCAAACACGATTTTACTAGCTTCGATGACAACGTGTCTCCTAGTCCTAGCTAACTTAGCAGAAACTTATACCTCTTAGCTAATGCCCGGCGCACACGGTGAAGATTATCGCGCTCAGCAGGAATCTCGACACCTCCGCACACGGTGAATTCGCGCCTCAGCAGGAATCTCACACCCGCACACGGAATGAGATTTCGTGCTGAGCAGGATCTCACACACCCCGCACAGGTGAGATTAGCGTGCTAGCAGGAATCTCACACCTCCCGCAACCGGTGGAGATTCGTCCTGACAGAATCTCACACCTCCGACACCGTGAGATTCGCGCTCGAGCAGGAATTCACACCCCCGCATCACGGTGAGATTCTCTGAGAGGAATCTCACAACCCGACACGCGTGAGATTCGCGCTCAGCAGGAATCTCACACCCGCAACACGTGAGATTCGTGCTCAGCAGGATCTCACAACCCGCCGCACAGCGCGGTGAGATTGGTGCTCAGCAGGAATGCTCAGCACCCGCACGACGGTGAGATTCGCGCTCAGCAGGAATCTCACACCCCCGCACACGGTGAGATTCGTGCTGAGCAGGAATCTCACACCCCCGCACACGGTGAGATTCGTGCTGAGCACGGATCTCACGAGCAGATGCCACTGTAGGTCATGTGACTGATCAAAATGGCGGAACCAATCAAAATGCGCAACCACCGAGTCAGAACCGATCCAAATGCGCCACCACCGAGTCAGATCCAATCAAAATGCACCGCCACTGAGTGAGTGTGAGCAGGAGTCTCACATATACCCCGCACATGCAGAGTTTTCAGCCTTGCGAGTCCAAAATTATCAAACACGACAGATGTTTTATTCACCTCCTCGCGAGACCGAACTCACATAAATAGAAACTCACGCTCCGTGCTCAGCACGAATCTCACCGTGTGCACCAGGTATACTAATTATAACTAATCATCTCCAAGAATCGGCTGTATATACTTAATCTTGGAGGTTATTACATTTATTATTGACTATATAGCTACATCTATCCCTGGCCGGTTTCCCTCCTTTGGCATAACAAATAACCGCGTATATTGATTTTTCCTCAATGTCGAATTGATTATACTGAAGACATAGAGAGAGACGTACTCTACAGGAAGACAGAAAAAATCTTGAATACAAGGCATTTGTTTAATGAAACGATGATCTTACAAGTTTACATCACTACTGTTTATTTCGAGCGAGCCACTTCTCGCTCTGTTTTTGTTCGCTTGTTTTTGTTTGATCGTTCCGTTTGTTTGTTTATGTTACGTCACATTCCAAACAGCAACGTGAACTTCGCCATAACGCAGGACGTGCGACGTAACGGACAACGTTGTGACGTCATCGTCACACTGATTATACAAAATTGACTATGCATCTTTTACACGATTGCTCCCACGCTTTACGTCACGTGACGGCAAAAACAAGCGAGCAGCACCCCTGTGAGATTGGCGAGCTTAGAAAATATATCCTTTGTATAGAAAGTGACCCCATAAAGCGACATTTCTATAGAATGGGGCTCTGTTGAGAAACCTTCAGACAGAATTGCAATTTACAAACGGATTCTATCAAGGCACCTTTCTATAAAAGAGGCATGCTATAAAGAAATACTTACATAGAATGACAATCTAAGAAATACATAGAATAGGAAACTATACAGGGATTCTATCAAATCATCTCTCTATAAAGAGGCACTCTATAGAGAAATACTTGGATAGAATAGGAAACTATAAATGGATAATATAGGAGCTAACCTCTCTATAAAAAGCTACTCGATAGCAAAATTCTTAAATAGAATGAGAAACTACAATGGAAATTGTATCAAGACTCCTATCTAAGCCCAGCTGCATTCGAGCTGCACTCGCAAAAAACACAAAGACGTTTGCCGCTCACAATACAAAAATAGACTAAGGATTAGCGAAAACCGATCGCCGCTCTTTCGGCAGTCGTGTTTGCGGGGTTATTGAACACACGTGTTCGCGCGAGTAGTGCATACACAAGACGTGTTATATGAATACATGTCGTCAGTCAATAGAAACCCTAACATAACATCTCATACGTA